ATATCAAATGTCCAAAATCTTTTGTTTGATCTGTAGCAGAAATTCAGTGAAATTGCGTGAAAATCAGTGTCAGAAAAGTTTGAACATTAACACCAAATCAAAACTAAATTCTACTGAAACCATTGTTTTTTCTCGTGTTTTGAATTCTCTCAGCTCCAGTGTTGCCGTCGTGCACGAGGCGACGCTGAGATCGATGAAGGCTACCTCAGATCTCGTCTCACGCCTGAAACCAAAAGAATAATTAGCTGCCACTCACATCCCTCCCTGCTGATGAAGGCGCCCTGCGGAGCGTCCGGTATTCCCTTCCACACAGTGATGGGTTTGGGGTATCCTGCGTCTGTGGTGTGCTTCTCCTCGTTGTAACGCCAGTACTGGTCCCCTTTGAAGAAGTACGTTTTCCCGACGGGCTCCCACCGCAGCGCCGTGTCGATGCCACTCTTGGGGAGGGAGCTGCCCAGCTCCACCAGGCTGTGAGGGTACCCTGGCTCAGCCGTCACCTCCCTGAACACCCAGTATTTATCACCTGGAACCAGTGTGAAGAAGTAAGTGAGCATTTGAATATTTTCAGTTTGTGTTGTGACACACAAGCAGCAACAGAACTGCCATAAATGCAGTTCCTTTAATGTCCACTCGGGGCTCCAGTGAGTCAGTCCCCACAGACCCAGCAGGTTTAGTCTTTACGGTTAGATTCAACCATAACGACCTGCTTCCATCTTCTTTATACAGTCTGTGGTTAAACTTTATTGACTTGAACTAAATAATTTATCCTCCAAACAGTCTGAGAAAATGTGTTTCTCCCTCAGTTTCTCAAATGATTATTTAATATTTGAAATCCCAGATATAGATCATCAACAATCGATTGTTCTCTGGCAGACGGCCGATCCGTCTGCCAGCTTTTCTCTTTCTAGGTTTCAAAATAAGCCGCTAGCTGCCAGGAACACTAACGGAGGCGAAAACACGACCTCCCCGGCGTCGTATCATAAATAAGAATCTTTATAGATACTCTTGTTTTTGGCGGTGGGGTTGCACGGGACAGACGACTGTGAAATTTAACAGCCGTGGTTAAAGAGCGTCGATTTCCACTACAGCGAGAAAACAACGATTAAAACAGCTGCTCTGTAGCTTTGTTAAATATTCAGCTCTCACTGTTCGGAAGAAGGATACGGGCGAAAACGCAAAGAGACATTAAATAAATAAAAGTACTCCATGAAGCCCCTTTAAAGGCTGATTAAATATCCTGCTGTGACAGACGCTCCTTTAGGAAGCCTGCACTGATCATCTGGAAAAACACACACAGTAAAAACAAAGATTAATACAAAGCCACTGAATCCTAATTATGTCCTTTACAGACACTAATAGCTACTCAGCAGCGTTTAAAGCACTTTATAATGTACATTATGAATTAATGGGTAGATTTAAGCAGGAAATTACAGTTTCTGATGTTTTTTTAATGTGTTTTACATCCTTTAACTTGAAGGCTTGTAAACTGGAAAGTTTGATTCAGACTGGTACAAATATGTGTTTGTCTTTGCAGTGCGTGTGAGCGTGTATTCGTATCTTTGTGGGGACCAAGACTTGTAGGTTTGCTACGAGTTTGAAGCCATTTTTGAGACTTAAAATGTGATTTAAGTGTCAGG